AAAGCCACGATGCAAAATCTCTTTTCTGGCAAGGACTTGCAACGTCCCTATCTATTCCAAAATGCGGCCTGGCTCAGATCCAACAGCGTCCTGCTCTTTCTCCTTTAGTCCTTTCCTCTTTGACGCCGCGTCTTCCGATGTCGTACATCCTGCCTTTCTGCACATTTCGCAGTCACCCCGCTCTGCCCACCCTCGCAAAAATTTTCCGCAGCGTACGGATCTACTTGTATTTTTTTACTTTGCTGTTCGTGCTCGTGATCAGCCTGTTACAAACTTCAAGCTACGAACGCAACAAAGTCTTGAATAGAAATGCTGTAAATAGCTAGGATTCGCAATTTCGTCGTGACATACGAATATAGCGGAGGTTTAATCAACCGGCGTCCGATTAATCGCAGTGATCGGTTATTAAAGTGGAATTAACGACAAATCAAAATGATTGGTTAAAGATATTATGTAACTTGTACAAGTTACTTATTAAATAAGGGATATTTTCGTGACTTAAATATCGTATTTTTGTAAAATGCTCTAATTTTGTCAAACGTTATAAAATAACATCGTGAAATAGCAAAATCTAGAAGGAAGAAGAAATACCAACGAAATTCTTAGAATTTCTTTCTATTATAATGGCAATGTGAATTCAGTCGAATTCAGTAATGTAAAATAATTATAAAATGAAATTACAAATGAAACGTTGCGTTAATGCAACTTTGGTACTTGATGGATTAACCGAGGTTCTTGTTCATCTGAGTTTCATTGTGAGTTACGATACAATTCTAAAGTATTCCGAACCGTTATTGTCAGGAATATAATATCGTCTCGGTGTATATAAATCATTCCTCGTTTGTTTCATTTCTGTGACGAGCTTGAAAAACGTAGAACGAATACGAGATATCAACGAATTATATGTTATTTCAATTAACATTTGCCGATTTAGCCTAAGGCTCAATTATTCCCTAACTCCCGATTCATCCCAGCTACTTTGCTCGCGACGAAGCCGCTTAATCGAAATATCACCGTATTACGAAATAGCTACGATCGTAATTTAATTTTTCTTCGCAAATAACCTCGATCGATTTCCAATTTACTTCCAGCGGTAATGTCGTACGTCGAACTCGGCTCATAACTCTCGTAAACATCGCAAAATGTACAAAAGCTACGCGAAACTCTTGTTTTTTCCGGATATCACGCGCTTGAAAACCCGTTTCGATTTTCATCCAAGAGCAAGCACACCGATCACCGCTTGCTAAAACGTTTGCCTACCCCCCCTATTCATCCGGTGCAGCTGAAAAACAAGATTTCAGCCCCGATCGGTAATAAATTGTCACGTGTATGACCGATACGGCGAAAGGAAGCACTGTGAGAGCTAGCTTTTCTTCCTTATGAAAATTTACCGTTGTGTACGCCTGAATTTATCGGGGGTTGGAATTTACAAGCTGCCGTGCGCGTGGCCGCCAGTTAGCCTTTCCAAACGATAAATTTCTTGGACCTTATCCAGCCACGTTCGTTCGTGTTTGTCTTACGTTTAAACTTTGCCCGTTGGAAATGAGGGGGGCGGGGGAGGTTAGTCACCAACCCTCGACTCCTCGTCTTCTCACAGAATTCGTCGCGCTTAATTAACCAGGAGTAAGTTTCGAAATTATAATACCGCTTTGATCATCGCCAGCTACGGTCGAAACTCGTGGCGTCGAAAGGTAAACTCTCTTCTAAAGTGTGCAAACGAACACTTCCTCGTGGAGTTTCTGCTAGATTTGCTCTCGCTCCTTCGTTTTCGCGCCCTTTCCCCCTCGTCGACGAAAACAAGGCGTAGCACGACCGAACAGCGGACAAAATACGACCTCGTTAGATGTTCTACCCACGAAATTACAGAGGCGAGAAAAAATAGTGACGTTTTTACGCGAATCGCGGTAAAACGGCTAGCTTAATTAAGAGAAGGTAACGCGAGCCAGAGACGTCGAGGGACACTAGAGATTTCAAAGAGAAACTGTCTTGTTGGTTGTTCTGTCTATTTGGTGTAACGTTGATAAGCGAGCGTTCGTCGATTCGGACCACTTTGACGATTAGGTAGCAACCGCAGCCATTTTCATCGGTAAGATAAACTCGGCTTCTCCTAGACCTTCTTAGCCTTTGTTAGGCGGTACACGCGGCCGGAAGAAGAGACGAGTCGCAAGGGCGTTCCGAGAGCGGCTAAAGAGCCAGGGGATAGGGTTCCAGTTAGGGGGAGAAATAGGGGATGGAAACACAGAGGTAAGCTTGAAAAAAAAAAAGAAGAAGAAGAAGGATAGAGGGGAGAAAGAAAAAGCAAATGGAAAAGAAATTCCCATTACTTTGGGGGAGAGACGTCTAGTACCCTTCTTCTTCATCTTCCTACCGGTCTTCGTCTTCCTATGTCTACTCCTTCGTCCTCTCCTTTCCGTTTCCTCCGCTACCTCCTACCGGTCTGGTACGCGGACTCCGCGAGACGCGGGGACACGATGCACGCATGTGCCGGGGTCATTCTATCGATTTCTCTGGTTCGCGTGGCAGTCACGAGGAGGCGTAGCCGGAGTCGCGCTCCCGCTGCACCAGCACGCCACCCAAAACAGCCTCGCGTATCGTCGCAACCGGGTTGCCTTTTCAAGGTTAACCTACACGTATATGTATACGTACACACAACGAACACCACCGAAAGTGCCGGTTTCCTCGTCTTGAGTGTTCCTCCATCTCCGTGAATACCAACTTTTGCCCGTTTTTCACGTGTGCCTCCGTGATCGGTGAAAACGTTGTCGAACTGGTGATTTCCGACGAATTGGTGAAAAAGTCTTCCTACGCTCTTTCGTCTTTCCAGACTTTGTGACCGAGTGCGTTCCTTTTTTTTCTACGGTGAGTAACGAACCTTCTTTTTATTTTCTTGTTATCGTTGAACTTCTTCATCGATTATTTTCATAGTACAAGAATTGGCTGGCAGCGTTTCTTTCTTCTTCGTGTCTAAACGTTCGATTTTGTGGAAAACGTGCGCGACTTTCGATTGCCCGTTATTAAGCGTCTCCGTGTCGCGACGGACCGTTTGCGAGACGACGCGACGGTCTCGATTAAAATTCAATGCGTCTCATTCTCTCGAGATTCTATCTTGCCAAATCATCGTTAAGATCGCAACGTTGGCAGAGTAAATCGCCGATTACGACGATCGAGAGGCAATGAGCTACAACGGGGATTAAGCGACGGCTAATTAACGCGGTCGCGTCCGCAGACTAGAAGTCGCCCTCTTCGTGTTTCGTGGAATTTTACCGGCATTGTCCGGTGACCGTAACTTCGTGTAAATGGACAATCGATCAGGGATACCCGAGCGATATCACGCAAACGTAATAGCTCCCTCAACGCTTTGATACTTGGATATTCTGCAGACACTCCAGAGGGGAATGACCACCGATCCTTGTCCGTGATTTATAATCCTGGAAAGCAAAATGAGAAAATGTTAAAGGGTTTACGTATCATCGGATATACCATTCACTGTGTATGAAAATTCATCCTAACGTTATCGGATCGTTAGGGGCAGTCCGGGGTTTTAAAATAAATCTTGTTCCCAAATGTGTACGCGGAACGCATCAACCAATTTTACACAGCCGATTGAGTTTTCTTCTTTCTTCCGTTCAACGAGCATTCGATTCGATGCGATCATTTATCGAACGTTCTCGAACTGTACGTTGATATACTTGGTCGATCTTCTGCTTCTAAACTTGACGTTTTATCGCGATACGTTCTTCGTTCGGAAAATTGACATTGAAACTATGAAATGGATTCTTCGACAGGAAACGGTAGTCACCGAATAGCAGAAAAATGCAGAAAAATACGCGATAGTCGACGTACGCGTTATAATACAATTCAGTTATAACGTAATACTATAATTCAGTAGGTGAAACAGACCTCTGCTTAACTTCCAACTCTTCAATTAATACATTCGTGAAAATACGAATTTGCACAAATACCTACGATTCCATAAGCATCGGTAAGTCGAAATTACCGAAGGAAGTGGAGTTGGCGCGTCGATAAGTATCAGCATTGTGTGGCAGATAACTCTCGAGCGCCGTGAAAATCGCGGGGTAAAGAAAAAAGAAAGAGGAGGAAGAGGCACAATGCGAGTTGTCGTCGCGTGGAAACCGTTTGCCTAGAAGAAATCCGGTTAGCCACTCGACGTAGAGGCGCGAGTCGACAATACGCGGCTGTGTGCGCGTTTTCAGAGAGAATTTTTCTCTCCCCCAACGTTCCGACGCGATAAGCGCCGTTATCTTTTGTCGCGCAACGATAATCCAAAGAACCGTCGTTTCAGTTCTTTAGGCAGGTCGAGCTGCAGCAGCCAGCACAGCGATGAACTAAACGCCTGTGGCTATGTAACCAGGAGCGGAACCGAGGCCGAGTAATTCTCGAGCTTGTTACGAGAAGCACACATCGTCGTGGATACAGAAAAAGAGAGAGCTAGGCCGTTTTCCCCTCTGTCTACTTTTTCTCGCTTCCACCCCTTCTCGTGTCCTACACTCTTTCTCGTTTTTCTTCCTTTTTTTTTTACGTCAGCTCCTCACCCCCTCTCTATTGCTCTACGCGTGTGCTCGCTTGTGCTCGCGCGTGTTTCTCCTTTTTCCTCCTTTTGCACTCTCTGTCTACGCCTATCGCTTCGGCTCTGTCCCACCGCGTAGCGTTAGGTAATTCGAAAGCAATTTGAATTGACGTGCACCGGCAGAGGAAAGTAATTACGGGGTGAACGCGAGGCACAAGCTCCCAACCACGCCGAATCGTGTGCACCTACCTGGCCGTCGTGCTTCTACTACGTACAGGCAATGCACGCGCAACCTGCTCACACGTGTACACGATACCTCTGTGTAAGTACGTGCGTATACCACGGCTTCGCGGTTAGATTGATTAAAATTTACTATGCAAATTAGATTGCGCCTCGCGGTGCGGTGGAAGGCACGCGCGTACGAGGAACCTCACTGGCTGAAAAGATGAATCGTTATCATTAGCATTTTCACCATTGACGTTGGCTTCGCAACACCGGTGTTATCGTGTCAACGCTAAGCCATCGAATATCCCTGATTTCTGGCTGGTTTCTGGCTGATTCCTGACTGGTTCCAGGCTGGCCGAGTCGATACGCCTGCAAACCGTGTATCCTATCTCCCCTGTACAGTGTGTGCTTTGTAGTTCTCCGCGTCTACCGTGCTATGAATATTCCATTAATATCTCAGGAAAATTTCAATAAAAAGATTGTTAAAGGGACATTTACCTCTCGCCTTTAGTATCCTTCGAGCTTCTTCCTCCCAGTTTTATTCCTCTTTTCGCAGGGAGTGGCTTTCAAAGACATTCCTCCAGCGATGGCACGTAACCAACGAAGAAATTCGTCTTTCCGCTAGATCGGTCGGAAGCGGCGCGATTCGCGACAGGGCGAAGGGAAAGAGCACGAAGGGTGAGTTTCACCCCCGAGGCATGTACACGCGCGTGGTAGGCGAATTGATCGCGTTGGGGTAGAATCATCCATCACTGAGTGACAGTCCCGAGCTAAACCTGCCCCCCCCCCTCCCACCACCATGGAAAGGTGCCCCTCTTCCTTTCTGACAAGAGGAATGGACAGAGGTGGCAGTGGAGAAGGGGGCGAGAACGGAAAGGGGAGGTGTGCCAGAGAGGGAAAACGGTGGCGCCCTCGAACGACGGGTGACGAACCAAACAACCCCCTCAACAATACCCAACAGATCCCACGGGACGGTGTATTCTCTCTCTGTGTTTTCTCTTTTTCTTTCTCAACCAACCCTCGCCGTCCTCCCGTCTCGGTTTATTCTCGTTGCCGCTTCCACCGTACGACGCTGCTGACGTTTGCCTCTCGCGAAAATCGAAACGCTTAATTGCATGATCGCCTCGTTTAAAGTGGCCTTTCCACTTGTTCCAACCAGAAACCAACCACGGGAGGGAGATCGTCGAGTGTGTATTTAAACGAGTATTACGATTATGTTATTTAGAAGCGCGTTTTACGTAGAAGAATTGAGAAAAGCGGAGTAACGATGTTAATAGAAGTTGATACGGCACTCGAATTCGAATTACGTTCGAAAGACCCTCGACTATGAATCGAGTCATCCAGGTGCAAAACTGTATTCGAATCGAGAGAGACTTGCCTTTGTTCGGTATCGGGGATCCCAACAAATATTTTGCACCATCATACTGCTATATCATATCTCCCTTTGATACATTATATCGTGGTCAAGGCACCCCTATTCATCCCCTTACTCGAAAATTCTACCCACCGCTGTATGTTCGTTACTTCGTACTGTCTCTTTCTTACCAAACCGCGTTGCTCTCTAACTTCCACAAAGCTACTGTTTCCGACCAACTATATCGACTATACGTAGAGGATACTTTCGATGAAATTCGCTCAGCGAAAATTGTTCTTCCACACCTTTCCACCCAAAACCTGTTAGTTACACTCGACCGGTTGTGGCCATAGCGGTCTATTCAATTCCCAATGAACTCGAAAAGAGAAAATTCGACGGACTTGAACCGTACCGATCATTAGGTAATGAAAACGAACAACCGGAGGCGAATTCGTTTGCTCGAGACCTGGCGTGCAGTTGCTCTATCGGCGACGGATGGTGCATTACCCGTTCCGGGGTAGATGCACCACCATCCCCCCTTCGTCGAGCTCGTTTCCCGGCATTGATGTGCTTCCTCGGTAGCGCGACGGCAATTTTCTTGATCACGCGACACAAAGGGCGGAAATCAATAATACGACGCGGGAGGAAATACGTCCTAAATTGGAATACAAGCCGGACTACGTGTCGCGTTATTTGTCCTCCGAGGCAATTCTAGTTCGTGTTACTGATTCACCGTTGAACGCTACGATTTCGATGGTTCAACGTTGCAAATGTATTCGAACGATATTTGTAAAAATTGAAACACAGCGAAATTTCTTTGTCCGTGATCTTGATATTCGTAGTTCCATGTATCAATGGTTAATCGTCGAACTAAGAAATTAATCTTCGATATTGTCAACGCTCCAGTATAGGATACGTATAGATTATACGAACGTAATACGGTTACGTGTTGTAAAAATATATAAAATAAACGCGATGAAAGAAAATTTAGAGCAGTTTTACGATATTTTGACAACGATACAAAGAATTATTAAGGAAATTTCCAACTTTTCTCCTACAGAATTTAAGAAAAATATTCCTCTGGTATAGTATACGTACGTAATATCTTGCGAAGAAAGAAACGAGTATTTGAAAAATACGAATATTGCCAACAGTAAAGAAGGGTGAGAATAAGAAAAGGAAGAGATACCTTGAAAGGGACCGGATATCTAGCTGCGTTTTATTGTAAATGGAGGAAGAGAACTCGCGTTTGTCGCGAAACGCTGGTATCGGGAACTTGTGTGATTTTCACTAGAGAAACAGCGATTCTCTCTCTCTCTCTCTCTTTCTCTCAGGGAGTTAGTGGTCGTTTTGTTGCAAGAAAACGAATACAGCGCGAGTAACAGAGGGCTCTGTCCAAGAGAAGTTGAACTGCATGCACAATGTGTTCGCGGGAGAGCATTGTGCGAGGTGCAAGAGCCGATAACAGGACACAAAAGGAAACGTGGCCTAGATCAGAACGAGCGGCATGTACACACAGGTCTACCTTATTCATCCCTGGGCAAACTCTACGGAGCCCGGAACGAGAGTTTAATACACGAGGTGAGGAAGCATTATGATCATGTAATGGGCCAATATTTGGATACGTACGATGGAACATTGCCGCTGTTCACACTCCGCTTCCCTTGCGGCTGTTCCATTGATTCGGTCGTAATTCAAGGGTCCAACCGCTTTGTGTTCACCGTCTTATCAAACTGGTTGAAGAATATTTGCCGCGGCATAGAATTAAGAGATTAAGGGATTTTGTCATTTTTGGACATTTATCTTCGATCGAGGAATTACATCGTCGAATTATATTCAATGGAATAATTCGTAATATTATTTCTACATATCCATTAACTTACGACTTTCTACAGATTTTTATTTTTGCGATAGGATGTTGCACATTTTGTCTTTGATCGATGGTTTAATTATCCGCATCAAACTCAAAGAACATATAAACGTATGAAATATACGGAAAACGTTTCTGACTTTATAAAATTTTTAAAAGAGAATATATTTTCACTTTCTTATCTTGCTTTCTCTTATAAAAGCATCGTCGAGAATAATCAACTTAGTAGGGCGAGAATGGAACCTTCTTGCAAAATAACCCCAGGCTATTTTTCTTCGCGAGGTTAGAATAATTCAAATATAGATGCAATTCAACTTCCACGAATCGAGCAGGCGAATGAACGAAATCTCCTAGTTTCTTTATCGTTTGAAAAATTGTACGATCCTAGGAGGAGATAAATGGAGTCACCGATATTGGAAGAGGAATGTACTTGATATTTGAGTCGGTTGTTTGAAGAATGGATCAGAATTTCGTGCAGGCGTGGCAACGTTCTGATCTTTTAATGTAGCAGAACTGCTAGAGTGCACACAGAAATGCAGAAGTGCGCAATGCAGAAGGAAAGCAATCTCTGTAACGCTTGCAATATCGCGCCCAACTTCGATGCACTCGCATCAAACTACGAAGCAACGTTAGTTGCAGGAATGAGACGATTTCGCGAGTATGTGCAGAATGCTTGCAAGAATAATCGTATGCAAAGCCAGATATATTCGGGAATAAGATCGATGTTGTCGTGATCGTTAGGGCAGTATCACGTATGCTAGATTCGAGTTAGGGATTTGTTTAAGCTCCCTCAGAGTTTGCTTTGCTAAGTATGTTTGCAGAGATGTCAAATTATTTCTCCCTTATCCAGGCATTCTTCCTTCTGAAAATACAAATGTTTTCGAATATTTAACAATTCGATATAAATCATAGAGGAGCGAGCAAAGATTTTTAAACTTGTTTAATTCGTATGTCGTACGCGTATCTCGAACTAATTAATCAAGCGACAGACACTTAGGATTTTGTTCAAAATCTAGGATCATTTTTTCTATCATATATGCCTGTATCAAGTAGACCTATAATTATTACATTGACAATCTGTATTAAACATTTCTTTCATAAAGTTCCGATTTTATGTCCTCGTGCGTTTTAATTCTTTTTCTTTTTTCAATTCTTTTGTTCCAACGACTGAAACACAAATACTCCGATTACCGACGGACTTTACAATTTCGCTACTCTGTTACGACAATACAATCGCTAACAGTTCGTGGTACCATACACTGAAACTATACGTATAATGGATCGAACCATCAATTTGTCGAGGAGAAGAGAAGGAATACCGACGCTTCGTCAGCGTATCGCAGCGAAACGTCATTTGGTTGCGTTCGTAGGCGGCGTGTAGAGTGCTTTAGGTGTCTAGAGTCTAGAGTGTCTTGCAGCACCGATTCACCGGCTGTTCAGTCTCACCCGTTCAAGGATCCATAGAGCGTGTGCTCGCCGGCTGTCGTTACCAAGTCCTCGGCCTGGATGTGTAAAGAGGTCTGTAGCTTCAGTCCTCGTTCGCTCTGTTCAAACGTATCGATGGCACATTCGCCAACAACGTGTCTATCGAGATTCATCGCGTTCAACTTCAAGCGATCCAGCAAAATTCTAACCAAGCAAGCGACGCTTGTATTTCGCGTGGTGCGCTTGTATCGCATCTTATCGATTTATAGCGTGTATGAAAATATCCGTTAGGCAGAATATCTGTTCGTAACGAGGATACTTTTCATCAGCAGGAAACTGTGATTTATAAAGGTGTGGCGATTGCCGATGACGCGTTCAACAGACGTCTTTCGAACGTGACAACCACAAGGGAAGATTACTTGGACGATCGAGACGTTCTTAATTAAGTTATTTACTTTATAATCGTATATAGTACATCATATATCATATAATACAAATATTAAGAGTTTCTGTGATTTTACCACAATTATTATTTTGCCACGTAAATAAATAGAATTAACTGTTATTCAATTATTTTCAATAGACGATAAATTTAGTCGCGATAGTGTCGTACGGAGAATATATCATATCCTTGGCACCAAAGGACGAGCAACAGTAGCCAGTTGTACACCACGAAGAATCAAAAAACGAGTCACGGCAAGCCATTCATCGTCATCATTGTCAGCAGCTTTTCTTGGTTTTAGCCTCTCAACATTTGCAACGTGACGAGAAGTCGTGGAGATCTTTACTCGATCGTATCTTCTTCTCTTCGTTTTTATTTCCTTCCGTTTCTATCGGTTTTCTCAAATCTTACAAAGACGTTCGATCTTAACTTCCTGTCAAAAAGTAGACATCGTGCGGTTCTTTCGTTACTATATCAATGTTTCATAGTATACAGGATTGATGATCCGTGCAAAGTTCAAAATTGGATACTAATCGATGTTTAGGTGACTCAAACGAGCCCGGTTTACCGCATTACTTATCTATTACCGTAAACACAATTGGAGAAGCAGCTTGACCTTGGCACGACACGGTTCGTAAACGAAAGAAAGCTGCGTGCCTTCTTTTGTCGCTGCTTCTCCGG